TTTGGGCCAGTCGGTAGAGGCCCTATGTTTCCTCATTCACATCTCATTCACAGGTCCAAGTTGCTGACATTTTGGGGAAGGGGAAAGATCGAGACAATGTAATTTTTCATAGTGTAACCTTCCCATGTTTCTCATCTACTCTTCCCTCTTTTTTCTTCCCTCCCCCAAATGTAATTAAGGAGGAAAATATGAAATCACTATGCAATGTATTTTTTACCTGGTAGTACTATGGGCCATCCATCTAAGCCACCTTTTGTGGAAAGAAAATTCTGGAACAAGTAGTGAGGGAACACAGGAAGTTTACAAGATGAAGATGCCATTGTCAGGATGCCTGGTTAAAATTTCATGAACAAGGCCAACCCAAGACAAAAAAGACAAGGATGCTGCCTCTTCCATCATTCTATGTCGTAAAATTAACTGGACTGGCATTTGAATTTCACACGAACATTTGTAAAGGGACTTTGTTCCCCGTATACCTGTAATCCAAGGGCAGCAGGCTACTTTAGAGAGTGAAGGATAAGGCCATGTGGCACACACAGCTCTATCTTTTAACAAGGGGAAGTGGTTGAGAGGTTCAGGAGGAATGGTTGGTGGTACTGCCCTCCTGCTCCCAGAGTGATTGCCTCCCTCTGCCTAATGGCCAGGGTGGCCCAGAATGTAGAGACATTTCTTTCTTTCCATGCTGTCTGGGGGGCTCTGGTCCCCAAAAATCAGAATGCCAAATTCTGGGAAAGCTCTATCTTTAGACAGGATGGTTGACAATAAAATCCTTGTCTGGAAATGCCCTTGGTTTTAAAAAGGCACTGCGAAATGTCGAGTATTGTCCTATTTTGAGCTCTAAATTTGGTCCTATAACTGTAATCCAGCTGTGGGCGCTTTTAGAGGTTGCAGGAAACAAGTGACACTGGATAAGTTTTTGTGGGGTTTTCAGGCTGTGAGGTCGTGTTCTAGAAGAATGTATCTGTGATGTTTCTTCAGTGTCACTTCCATATGACACCAGATATTCTGTTTCTACAGAGAGGAAGAAGAAACCACCTATAAAGCAATCTAGTCCATTCAGAAGCTGATACATTGAACCTGTCCCAGCAGCTAGATCACCACAGGTTCAAGTTGCTGACATTTCTGTGATGACAAGAGAACCATCCCAGAACAGAGAGAAGAAAACGACTGGCTTCAGATGGGAAGGAATCGGAAACAAGAGTGACCCCTTGTCGCAGCTAATGTCTGTCTTCCTTCTTAATCCTACTGCCATTGCCCTAGACAAATGTTATAGTTCAGTGAGAGAAAACAGAGCATATGTTTTAATACTTTGCAGATACTGAAGTGTTTATTGCCAGCTTGTGGCTACAATTATAAGTCCATCCACTGGGAAAATGATGCTTTGCAGCTGAGCTACAGTAATTCAAAGAACCATGTCCTGTCATTCTTTCTGCACTATCTCTTTGGACTTGGCAGGAGGGCAGCCATCATTGATCAAAACAGGCTGTCATTCTTAGAATAAATACATAAATGTAGTGACCAACTGCCTAAAGATGGGTTGACCAGGATTAGTTCAAGGGGCTTACAAGACACATCTAATAACCAGAGGCAAGCCCTGGAGACATACAGCAGTACAACAAAAACTCAGACATCATGTACAGTACAAAAATCTAATGAAAAGAAAAGATAATAAATTTGTCTGTGGATCATAATAAAATTATCTGTGGATCAAATGTAACTTGACAAAGTGAGGTGATTTATAATTGTTTACCAGTCTGTAGTAAAGTTCAAGTTATTCTTCAGGCCTTGTCTCTCAAAGTTTTAGATTGGTATTAAATCCTCTGCTTTCTACTGAAGGAGAGGAAAAAATGATATGCAGCTGAAAAAGTCAAAGAGCCAAAGATGCTTTTGTGCAATAACAAAGAATGGAAACTATTCAAGATATAGCTGTGTTAGACTGCAGAGTCAGTATGTAGAGAGATCTTGTAGCACCTTTGAGACTAACTAAAGAAAGAAGTTGGCAGCATGAGCTTTCATAGACTTGAGTCTACTTCCTCAGAGGAAGTAGACTCAAGTCTACAAAAACTCATGCTGCCAACTTCTTTCTTTAGTTAGTCTCAAAGGTTCTACAAGATCTCTCTACATAAAGAATGGAAACATACAAGTGGGACAGAATTCAACAAGACACTATCATGCAATCCTTCTTAGCACCTGCCAGGACTTCTAACTCATGTGCAGGAGCAATGCTGAGGGGGTTGGATGGGTTGTTCCCTGTTCCTCTCCTCCTCCTGCCACTCCAATCTTTTTTTTCAGTAGGTGCCTTAACTGGGATCCACCACAATCTCAAAATGATAATCTGTTGGGGGTGGAGGATGAATGGTCAGACCTGTTGCTTCCTCCTCAAGACAAAACACCCTCTTTGCAGTATCAATGGACTGGCAGTAGTCTCAGGGCCACATCATTTTATAACTGTCATCATCTTAGCAAATCATGCAGGATATTCCATCCAATCACAGATCATGTGAACAGGATTATATTTGATTGCATATGCACAAAATTCTGATTGGGCTGTATGGCAGCATCACTGATCAGTCACATGAGGAAGCATAACTTTTCAGGGATCAAATATGAATATATTGTGTGCATATATATATATATATATATATAAATATTGTCATGTTGCTATATAGCCACATAGGAAAAGGCAATCCAGGACGTTTTGCATCACTCTGAAGAGATGAACATATATTTTTAGCCATTTTACTGCAACTACCAACAAACTTCTGAAGATGGGAGCTCTTTTCAACACTCTTAAGTCCATGAAAAGCTTTACTACATGTTTTTCAGCCTCTATTACATAAGAGGATTATAATAGGTAATATCAGTTTTAAAGGGCATTGCATAAGGACATAACTTTCCAGGTTTTGCTGTTTTCATGAAGGTATGGTATAATTTATATAACTGAGCATATAATTTTGAATGTCTAAAACATCTGTACAGTTTATGAATGGGGAAAGTGAACACTGAAAACTAGCAACTTGACCAAGACTATACAGTAAACGAGAGCCAGTGTGGTGTAGTAGTTTGAGATTAGACTACAACTCTAGAGGCCAGGGTTCGATTCCCAGCTTCGTCATGAAACCCTCTGGATGACCTTGAGGAATTCACACTCTCTCAGCCTCAGGGGAAGGCAATAGCAAACCTCCTCTGAACAAATCATTCCAAGAAAAACCCATGATAGGTTCACCTTAGGCTCGCCATAAATTGGAAATGACTTGAAGGGCCACAGCGACAGCAATACAGTAAACAGACGATTAACCCAGTCTCAGACAAAGACCAGCATTCTAGCAGTTAGTAACCTACAAGCTGTATTCAGGAGTAACTAAAAAATCTGAAAAATCAAAGATGTCTCCAAAACAACCCAACTACTTACTACAGTTAAATGAGCAGTCTGCCCACAGACATTTACATCCTGGTGAGATTCCAGGATTTGTCAGACAACCAGAATCAGCCATGCTGTCTTGTTGTGAAGAACTCTGCTGGGTTAGACTAAAGACCTGTAAAGACCTATCTGCCAGCATTCTTTTCACACAGTGGACAACCAGTTCTCTATGGAAAGTCCATAAATAGGACATGAGAGTAACACAATTTCCTACGTAGAGTCCTTAGAACCTTATATACAGAGACATACTACCTGTGCAAAGTGGAAAGAACATGCATCCATCTTGGTTGCTAGCCATTGAAAATGCTATACTTGTAGAATTTGTCCCAACTTTCTTTTAAAGCTGTACAAGTTAGTAGCCACAATTCAACCGTGCAGTGTGTAAAACAGTAATTCCATCACCACCCAATCCCTGTCTCCTACCATTAGTGTTGCCAGATCTCAGGATATGGTCCTTAGTCTCCAGTTTTCATGGATCATCTCCAGGTGGGAGATGGTGGGAGATAACGGTGCAAATTCTCCAGCTCTTGGGAACTCAACTCCAGGTATGAAGAAAGGAGTCTATAGGCCTAAGCAGACTGCCAGAAATAGTGCACATTAAATTGAGGCACTGCCCTGGCTCAGTGCTAGGGAATCATGAGAATTGTATTTTTTTCTGGGACACTGAGCCTTCTCTGTCAGAGAGCTCTGGTGCCACAATAAATTACAGTTCCCATGATTCCCTAGCACTGAGCCAGGGCAGTGCCTCAATTTAATGTGCACTATTTCTGGCAGTCTGCTTAGGCTATGTGCTTTGCTGATCTCCAGCTCCAGTTAGGAGAGTGCCAGCTTGCTACATTTCGTCTCTCCAGATGTCTATGCTGTGAGCAGCTGTGGTTGATACTTAATACATAACATTTAATGGCATCACCAAGGCCCGTCCCTGGGTTTCAGGTTTTGGCCTGGAAACCTCAGGACCTGGGACAATCTGGAACTGGCAACCCTACCTACTACTGAGTGTCAATGGATGGCCCTGGAATCTAATATTATGAGAAAAGCTTTTTCACATTTTCTACACCATGCATAATTTTGATACCTCTGTCATATCTCCCTTTACTTGCTTTTTCAAAAAATAAAAATAAAAAAAACTTTTGCCAAAAGTCTTTTAGAAGTCTAGGGTAAACAAATGCTGACCAAAACAGTAGGAATCATTTAACCCAAATATTTTTTTGCAAGCTCAGCAGTCCTTCCTTTGTTTTATTTTTCAGCCAATTCCTCAGCCTCAAATGGGAGAAACTCACCTTTAGGTGGTTTGAATTTTTTTTCTAAAGCACAGTGTGCCTCATTATTTTCAGAGAAAATCTTCCCCTTACCCTAAACCCAAAATAACTATCTGTTAATTCCATTTGCTCTGAAGAATCTGGTGTATCCACCAAAGCAGAATCATGCCTCCTGGGGAGCAATTCACCTCTAGAACAAAGTGTGCCCTACATAACTTGGTCCTCAAACATTATTTGTTGCCCGCCACTTCTGGCCAGCTCAGAATTCATATAGAAAAGTTTGCTTGCCCATGTTCTAAAGGTTCATTCTTGCCTATAGGTTTATTTATGGACATTATTGGAGGAAAGTGTTGTTACACCTTTACTTGCTGGCAAATCCAGATTTGTTGTCTAATGTGTGAAAAGGTTCCTATTCAGTCTGTGTGGAGTGCATTTTGCATCATACTTCTGCAACTGCATTGATCTACGCTCCCTCCCTTCTTTCTACACCCACTCATCTGTCTTTGCTTGCAGGAGCATTTTCCTTTCAGCCGGCTCTGAGGACGTTATCACACGCAGGTCTTAAAGCGGCAAGAAAGCGGTATGGAATCAATCCAGGACTATACCGGTATAGACCCCACAAGACGGAAATTGCTATCAGACGCAACTAGCATCATTGTGCAATGAACGAAAGCAGCATCATTCCGGTTTCATTCTGGTCGCGCAAATGTAATTCCCCAGGAAACCGGCATTCAAAAGAACAGGGATGATGCCGCATTGGAACGGGGATGGGACGGGGTTCTCTGCGACATCGTGTGAACACACGGGAAAAGGAACCGCAATGGGACGGGGATGGGACGGGGTTCTGTGTGACGTCATGTGAACACACGGAAAAAAAACTGCAATGGGACGGGGATGGGATGGGGTTCTGTCTGCTTTAGACCCCGTGTGATAAGGTCCTGAGTCCTTAACTCCTTGACTAGTGGATGGCTCATTTCAGCCTGGAACCTCAAACAAGCATCTGACATTACTCAAGACAGCAGTGTTGCCTCATGTGAATTATTTTTGAGAAATTGAACCAAAACTATCAGGAACATTTTTGCTCTTATGCCCAGGGGAAGAGTTTTAATGCTGGAGTTTTCATTGTCTTTGCTTCTTTGAAAAGTTCAATTACTTTTATGTCGGCTCACAAGAATAAGATAACAATTATCCTGCTATATCCAGCTGAACCAAAAATAAATAGAACATGTACAACTCATCACTTCTTCTCCTCCCAGTATTGTTGATGTTTCTTTCTTTGAAAAGGTGTCCATCTTCAAATAGCCAATAGCATTTATATATCCTCAACATCTCCACAGGCTCACCACAAATTGTAGGGCAAAATCTTTTATAGTTTGTGGCCAAGATAACAGAATAGAACAGCAAAACTAAGCAGTACATTTCGGAAATTGCATGCAAGAGATTGTTTTAATCAGGCCATGTCTGTGGGGTTATTCAGGATTTTACTCAAGTGACTGAAACTTTTATTTGGGCTCAAATCTGAAGTTCAAATGCCATCTAATGGCCTCACTCTAGATCTGCAGGCAAAAAACTGGAAAGCTTACCAAACATTTGAAAAATGGTGAAGAGTCAACAGTGAATCCAGTTTTTAAAATGAAATGGTTTTATTTTGACATCTGAAACGAACCATATGTTTCCTCTTGCTTTGTTTCTTTCCTATTAAAAATGATGCCACTTCTCAACATTTTATCCCAGTCTGGTATGAGCAAAAAAAGAAGAAGTCTGCTCAGGCTGGCAAGACAAAAGCAGAGGCTGATGTCAGTGGCCGATGTAGTAAAATGATAGGTTTCAATTTAAGAACTCCTGTTGTTAAGATCTTAATCAGATGTTGCCCTTCAGTTTGTCTTTTTGTAACTTTCTGATTCCCACTCAGGACCAAACTAAATAAGATGAAGCAACCAGATTTGTTTGTTATCTATGCTGTCCACATATAACTGAAAAAATGCCCCATTGAAAATGCCCCATCTTCTAGAGAGCACTTGGGGGCATTTTTTAAAAATTTCTTTTCCTGGGAGTATGATGTGTATATGTGTGTGAAGGCACACATATGCTTTCAAGTCGCCTGTCAGCTTTTGGTGACCCCATGAATTTCATAGGTGTTTCTTGGGCAAGGAATACTCAGAGGTGGTTTTGTCAGTTCCTTCCTCTGAAATACAACCTGCAGCACCTGGTATTCATTGGCAATCTTCCATCCATGTGCTAACCAGGGCTGACCCTGCTTAGTTTCCAAGATCAGATGGGATCTGTTGCCTATCAGTCACAGACCTACATCTTCTTGATTGACCATTTGAATGAATGATTATCTACATGTCAGCTCACCATTCAACAACCAGTTTAATTTCAGTTTTGATTGACATTTAGGTCATAACCTCCCAGTCCAGCTAGTATATGGTACCAGTTTTCACCTCTCTCAGAGGTTCCCCACCCCGGGGGAATCAGCTGTGCATTTAATTAATTTAAAATATTTCACACTGGTTTTGCAATGTCTGAACATCTCATATCTTTCACCCCTCTGTTTCCTTCTACCAGTGGTACCCCTGCAAACCTTCCTGCCCAATTCCCAGGTTTTATGAGGTACAAATGGCATACCACAGGGTCACAGCATGCTGGGCAAAGGTGAATTTTGGATGTGTTGGAGACTGAGGTATAACTTTGTTCAGAGTCAGATTTATCTTGCAACAAGGGGCATTGACGTGGAATGTATCTGTCTCTTCTGCTTTGAGCCAGCTCCAATTCTCTCAGGCTAGACCAGGGGTCCCCAAACTTCGGCCCGCGGACCGGACCCAGCCCATCGAGGCCTTTTTACTGGCCTGTGGCCGGTCCTGCCACTGCCGCTGCCGCCACCACTGTCGCACACGCTGCCGGGCACCATTTTGTATTCCAAAATGGCATCTGGAGTTGTGTGCATGTGCCCAGTGTTGCGCGTGCATGCGCACGACTCTGGGCGCCATTTTGGAATACAAAACAGCGCCGGAGTAATGCAACCACACACACATTTCAAGGGGTGTAAAATATATTTAGAAAGGTTTGTAACCAAAACAAAAATTGCCCCAATGCCTAAGTATTGCACATTGTCAGAGCATTTGTCTGCATGTCCATTGGGGGGGGAGAAGTCCCACTATGCTCAATAGGGCTTACCCACAAATAATAGGTTTATAGACTGAGCTAAGGACCTTATCACACGGGGTCTAAAGCAGAGCTAATCCAAAGTGTACCTGTAGCTAAAACGTATTATTTCCCCGTGTTTA